GGCTGCCCCGGAGCGCTGCCGAGGGGAGGCTGCCCGGCGGCTGGCCGTGGCAAGCCCCCCGAGCTGCGCGGACGGGCGCCTTAGGCGCATCCCCGGTTTTCTGACTGGAAACGCGGTGCAAAACACCCGATCTTGTGCTTTGCGGCTTGTTCTGGGCTGCAAGTTTGCGTGGGGATAGCTCTGAGCTGCAGGGTGCTTGTGGGTCAGTGGCTGCAAGCTGGCAGGGGTGGGTGGTCCTGGTGTTTTCGACAGCAGACCTGTTGACCAGGCTTACTCTGATCTAACCTGAACGTGAAAGCATCTTCGTTCCTAACAATCTTTCATTCAAACAATAAACAAAACTGAAACTAACAGGTTTTTCCAAAAGACAGCCAACAGGGTGAACCAGCTCTAGACGGCTGAACACCTGGAAGCAAGCACCACTCCTGGCTCTGGTTTCACGCCTCCGAGAGCTCGGTTCCTGTCACGAAATGGGTGGCCTGTTATAAACGCTTATTCAATATTTTGTTTGCAGGATGGAAGAGGAATTGGCAGCTCCTTCCACATCCACAGACAAGACAGACAGGTGAGGTGGGAGTTGGAGTTGTCAGTTACCAAAGAATGCGAAATCCAGGGGTTATTGAGTGAAACAAAAAGGTGACCCTTCAAATTGGCTGTTAGGCTCAAAGTTTAACAGATGCGGACGCTGTAGATGCTGAAAACTTGTGCTCACTTGTAGTCTGCACAAATCTAGTGCAACAAAACCCTTTCAAGGACTAATAAATACACAAATACCAGCTGTTGTTTAGGAAGTTCTTGATCTGTGAGTTGGTGCTGGGGAAGCGTTGGGGAGGTACAAATATGTGACTAGCATGTAGTCACTACTACATGTAGTCACATGTAGTGTGACTGCTGCCCACTCTGTGGGCAGCTCCTCTTGTCCCAGTCCAAGGTGCTGGGCTGGGACGGACCTTCTGGAAATGGAGCTGTGTGAGATGCACTGAGTTGAAACGAAGACTTGCATCTATCATTCTTCTCAAATGCATCGTGCTGTGCTGTGAGAAGTCATAACTTGGATTTATTCTTATTTTTCTTGGCTTAGCTAGCGTCGGAGTCTGGTTAAACACTGTATGGTACTCAGTGCTGTATTGGTGTGCAACTCTTAGAGTATATTGTTTAGCATCCTTTGTCATATCAGATTCTGATACGCACTTCTTGCAGCGGTTACTTAAAATTAACCTGTCTGCCCTTGGTCATCAGAACTAAAAGTTGGTCCAGATTTCTTCCAACCAGTGTAATGTATGCAACTCACTCTTACATAAAGCTGACTAGATTTTGAAAGCCGGATATGAAATTACTATGGAAACTAACAGAATCCTGTATTTGATTTATTTTTATTTTTTCCCCCCTCTCCAGTATGGACGTGGATGGAGAATCAAAGAAACTATTGGGTTTAGGACAGAAACACTTGGTAATGGGAAATATTCCAGCTGCTGTTAATGCGTTCCAGGAAGCTGCGAGCTTACTGTGAGTAGTAGAATGTTTTGTGTGTTTTTGTAGGGCTTGGTTTTCAGCTTGACTATACTGATGTGGCTTATACAAGAAAGATGGAGCTTTTTACCTTGCATATGCTGCTGTATTTATAATACAACCGAGGAGAGGACAAACTATTTAAATTAACTGAAGTGTTGGACAATACTGTAGTTGGTGTGCAATTTAGACAGCTTTTGTGATAGTAATTGCCAGTGCAGTTCCCTAAGGAGGAAAAGGAATTTGATGTTTTATTTTGCAGTGTGTGGTTCTGATGTCTCTTAATATGAAAATAATGGGATAGTGTTACTTGCTAGTAACTTGTTTACTAGTCTTGATCAGTCTCTGAGGGTGATACCTCTTTGGTTTTTAGATTAGTTTGCTTTGCTGGATGTTTGAGAGCCATGTCTAGCTAAGTGAGAGGAGCTTTCGTTATTTGTTTGAAACAATGGGAGACGAGCTAAGAAACTGATTCTTCCTGTCCAGGAATTTTTAGCTTTCAAGTTCACGTATCAAAATTTGTAGGCACAGGCAAATAATTCTTCATTACTTTTGTAGGGGTAAAAAATATGGTGAGACAGCAGATGAGTGTGCAGAAGCCTTTTTTTACTATGGAAAATCTCTCCTGGAGTTGGCAAGGTATGCTAACAGTTTCTCATTTAATTAAGAGTCTGCCTGGCATGACAGGGTTTGCTAGACTTCATATACACAGAGTTCCACTGGGTGGGATGGGCCATGGCATTGCAGCTTGTGCAGTTAAAACGGTGTTATTTCAAGAGCTAAGGGATAGCAAACTTTTGTTCCCTTTAGAATGGAAAATGGTGTGCTGGGAAATGCCTTAGAAGGGGTGCAGGTTGAAGAGGAAGGAGAAAAAGCTGAAGACGATTCTGCGTCACCGACTGTTGATGGTATGTAAAGCTGTCTGCCGTGTCGTGGAGGCACTGAGCTGAGTTTTCTTGTCTAAATGATCCCAAGTTCAGTCCATTGGTATCTTGGGTAGCCTGAATCATTCTGTTGAAACTCTTAGCAGCCTGAATGGACTTTTTTTTTTGTTCTTCTAATCTTGCTTAAAGATTGAACAAAACCTCTAAAACTTCTGCAAGGAACTGGTCACTGAAAGCATGTGTAAAGGGTCACCAGCTGTCTGTGTCCTGAAACACTGCGTTCAAACTTGCTTTCTTAAGCTTCACAGTCAACTTGAACTGCTTTGTGTAACCTTGTAGCAGTACAGTGTGTGTAGTAGGGCAGGTCAGAGTCTCTGTAAAAAGTCCAAGAACAGTAATTATTTTATACTACCTGCAGCTGGAGATAACACAGGAATTCCTGTCAATCCAGACTATTAAAACACTGGCACCTCTTGCTTAGCTGTGACTAAAAACGCTAGCGCGCAAAACTGCACACTGCTTGAGCAGCCGCTTGCAATAATGCAGTCTGGGGAAGGGGAAGGGATTTGCTTAGTTCAAGTTACTATGTTGGTTGTGTCCTAATTCCTTGTACTTTGAAAATGGAGCTTTTAGGAATGTCATCTAACTTGATGACAAACCAACACGCTGGAGGGTCTGAGGGTGGTATTGTCAGTGCCCATTAATGTCTTTATCACTAAACTCGAAGAAATGTTTATGCTTCCTCAATCATGTAGAAGAAGCAAGGGAGGAGTTGAGAGAACAGGTATATAACGCCATGGGGGAAAAAGAAGAGGCCAAAAAGTCTACAGAAGAGTCTCCAGTACTATCTGAGAAGGAAATCAAAGAGGAGGATGTTGACATGAAAGAGATCACAGAAGAAGAACCAACAGAAGCAGCAATTGCTGACAAGGATGTAAAGCTTGAAGAGGCTGAAGAGAAGACGGAGGCTTCTGTGGAAAAAGAAGTAATTTCAGAAGAGCAGAAGCAGCAGGTAGCTGTGGAAAAGGAGGCTACGAAAGAGGAGGGAGCTGTGGAAGAGAAGGTAGTGGAAAAAGAGCAGAAGATAGTGCCTGAAAACAAGGTAGGAGAGGCAACTGAGGAGAAGGAGAGAACGACAGAAGTGTCGGACAAGGAGGCAAAGGCAGCTGTGGAAGAGGCTGAAGCTGGAGAAGCGGCTGTGGAAGAGAAGGGAGAGGCGGGAGAGCAGACAGCAGAAGCAACAGAAAAAGAGCCAGCTGTGGAAAAGGGAGAGGCTGTAGAAGGGCAGGCAGAGGCAGTTGTGGAAGAGAAGGCAGTAGCACAAGTGACAGCAGAAGTGCAGGCAGCAGTCGCTGTGGAGCAGAAAGAAGCTGCAGAAGGGGAAGCAGAGGCAGCTGAACAGAAGAAGGTGGAGGAGAAACAAGAGCCGGTAGAGAGCGCTACAGAAGAGAAAACAGATGAATCTAAAGAGGCAGAGTCCTCAAAGGAACCTGTGCCCACAGAGGGCAAAGAGCCATCTGATGACATGGAAGAAAAGGCTGAAGTAGCTGCTAAGGTAGAGAAAGAGGAAAAGAAAGATGACCTGATGGAAGAGGGTGAAGGTGCTAAGGTAGAAAAAGAAGAGAAAGATGACGTGATGGAGGAGGGAGAAGGTAACAGTGAGAGGAGAAAAGTACTTGTGGGTGGATGACTTGATGGATTTGGCTAACAATGGGTGAAAAGTGTTCCATTCAGAATTTTCTGTTTGCCTTAGAATAAGGAAAAGGCACGGTAAAGGGGCTCTTGAAGGATTTTACATCCAAGTAAAGTTTCAAGGAATAGTTGAATAGTCTCAGTTTCTCTAGACTAACGCTTAACTAACTGCAAAGCAAATCTTACTTGAAAGCAAACTTACAGCCCTGTGAAATGTGTAAGTAATGGCTAGGCTGGTGGAGAATACTGAATGGATGTTCACTTGCATGCGTCTGGGTTTATTGCACTAACCTTGAAATAACTTGAAGCACAAGTTGCCTCTGGTTATAAAAAAAACAGAAAAATAAGAACAGCTGAACACATAACAAAATAGTAAATTTGCTTTTTGGCGGGGGGGAAGGAACTCTCCATTTGAGTCTCTCTGGTGGTAATTACAAGTGAGAATTTGGTTGGCAAATCTAAGCTTAATTTGCCCTGGAACCTGTAGGCTTATTGCTATGATCTAGTACAGTCTTCCAGCTATCCAGCTTTGTCTGCCATTCTGCTTCCCTGCTTCGTTATAGCTGTTCTCAGGGTTATGTTAAAGTAACCTAGTAAAACTTGTACGCTTTGAAGTATTACTTGCATGGTCTTAGTAGGCCAATGCTTTCTATTGCACAAGTTAATTGATGAGCTAATAATTGAAACTTTGCTTGTCAGTAACTCAGCTTCACAGGAAGAGCCTTATCTTAGGAGTGGCAAATATTCGGACTAAATTAGTTCTGGACACTGAAAGGATTTGTAGCGCTGAGCAGAGTCAACACTCAGTGGTGGAGCAGCTGCCTAACAAGGTGTCTGTCTGGACAGAGTATGACTGAACGTAAACTAAGAGTAGTTATCCACTCCTCATCATCCTGTGGAAGGCTGCTTATGTGTGCATACTGCTGCTTTTTTTCCCCAACGCTGTTAGCGTGAGGATACTCTTGAATATCCTGGTCTGGTGCTGTGTCGTTCCAGACTCCTCCCACTACTTAAATTTTAACTTCCTAACATCTCTTCTGTTTTACCTTTGATTGAGCCGTCCTCATACTTACAGGTTTGGCCCTCTCAGTGGTAGGTGTGTGCTTTTTGGGAGTTAGACTAATGAGCTCATGGGTTCTCTAGTCTCCACCCCATCAAGGTCCTGTTATTCTGGAATTAGTCAGTGGTCACGATCTAGGAATTAAATGTGCGACTTCAGCATGCAAGTCAACCAGTGCTGTAAAGTTATTAGCCATACTCCTTCACTGCACATTTTCCCAAAATGTTTCCTACTGGTAGAATAGATCATGCAACGCTCCTACACGGTATCAGAAGTCAAATCAGTGCTACACAATAGCGGGTTCATTAGTAACATTGCCACTTAAATGTCTGACACGAGGAACACGAATTCAGAAACAGTCTTATTTGTGCGCAGCTTGGCAGCTATCTTGCTGAAAACGCTTGTTATCTGTAGCATGAAGTCCAGCAACTGACCAGTGCCTCCAGGGCTGCTCAGGATCCCATGGCTTCAGTGGGAGTTCACAATGCATTTGTGAGAACTGAGTTCTAGGTAAGTTTGTGTTCTGGAAAGTATGACGTTAAACTTGAAACAAGGACTAAGGTAGCCTGGAACTACTTTAGTCTACAGTGCCTAACACTTTCAGCAAGATGGCTGCTGCTGCTGAGAATTTAATGTATCTGTACTCTTCCTGCATCACACATCTAACCTGTCACTGGAAGGGTAAGGGCTGGATATAATATATTCTGCCTGACTCCACGTGAGGCAAGCGTAGTAACAACAAGTGTTCTCATTCATCTACTTCCCTTGTAGAAACAGAAGAATCTGAAGAGGAAGATAAAGAAAATGATAAAGCTGAAGATGATAAGGAGAATGAATTGACGGTGGAAGACAAGGTGAGACTGCTGAGCTCTGATATCGGTGCTCATGGAAGAATGCAGTATTTGTCTAAATGTCATGTTAATGACTTTTTAAAAGCTCACTTGTATTCCATTTAGTCCTATGTAGGAAATGACTTGAAAACCAGTATTGCCTAAGGGAGGGTCAGCATTATGCGTAGTACGCATTGTAGTATCTTGCTCAGCTCTGTCTGTAAACTTGGGCAGTCCGCTGATGAGTAATGCAGCCAGGGAAATGCAGGGGCAGGCGGGGAGAGTTGCTTTAGCTTGTCACTAAAGTTAGTTACTTGTAAGAGTTTATTCTCTACTTGTTTTGTTGTTGTCTCGCTACACATGTTGAACGCCCAGCCCAATAAGCCATGATTGGGATGGAAATTTAGTGGGAAGTGGTGTAGTGCTGTTTAAATCTGAGGTGTTTCCTTGATGTAGCAATCAAAACGCCTGGAAAAATCTGAAGCCTATTAGAGTGTGGTACTAAGCATGCTGTACGACTGTCCTGAACAGAATATCTGTCTCTGCCTCAGACTATTCTAACAAAGTTCAAAAGCTCATTTAAAAAAAGTGAAACTTCACCTCCTTTATTTAGCTTTTGATTCATCTAAATAGCACCTTAAACAAAATCTTATTCTTAGGATGATATTGGTGCTTGGTGCCCTGTTATTTCTGGAAAAAAAATTAAGGCCATATCAACTAACAATGTAAGCTACCACTTAAAACACCTTCACTGCAGGCAAAGTCTCAGTTGATACAATTAACCTCTTCTGCATGTTCTCTCTTCTTTTTCCTTCTAGTGGTAAACTGTTTACCTCCTAAAGAAATCTAGTCCTTGACAACACTGCTTAGAAACTTAGTGTTGTCTGATGTGATATGTAACCAAGTCACTTAATCTTTAATGCATTTCTAGTCTTTACAGGAAAGCGAGGAGGACGAAGTTGGAAATCTTGAGCTAGCCTGGGACATGCTGGAGTTGGCAAAAGTCATCTACAAGAGGTAAAGGCTTAAGTCCTAATTTGGATATCTGCTAGAGAAACTCATTGGAAACTGGGGGGTGGCATAAGCAGTTATGTGAATGTGGCATATTCTGATCAGGATTTGAAAACTGCTTTTTTTTTTTGTCCTTGATTTAGACAAGAAACAAAAGAAGCTCAGCTCCATGCAGCTCAAGCTCATCTAAAGTTAGGAGAAGTTAGCATTGAGTCTGGTAAGTAATATTAATTCTCAAGTACAGTTCCACTTTCTGTCCTTCTCTGTTTCTTACTTTAAAATGAGCGGAGGTGAGTTAAGGCTAAGATGAAAGTAAAACACACTTTGTTTCATTATGATAGTGCAGCCATGTGAGAAGCTTTAGAGTCGGTGGATGAACAAGTCAGTGCCCTAAGCAGGATAGTCCATGCTTTTCCAGAGCAGTGAAAGAAAGCTTCGAGTAAGAAGTAATGTGTTACCGGATCAAAACCAGCCTTGTGTTCTGCTTTACAGGCGAGGTTTGGTTAGCTTCAGAAAAGGAGAAGGACTCTTTCCTTACTGAAGTAGTGAGTCATTGAGCTCAATGGGAGGTGTTGGTACCATGGCAGTTCCAGAACATAAAGACTGCAAATAAAAAAGGGTTGACTCTCTTAGACTTTCCAAAATAATAGGGTATGGTCAGGAAAGACCCTGATGTGTTATGCATGAGAAAAAAGGAGTGTGAAGCAAGACTCGGGTTTGTGCCCTCTAATGTCTTATCTGCCCTTTGTTTTAAAACATGAGTTTTAATCTTGTTAAACCCAAGTAGGGTGTAATCTTCTTCTATGGCAAGCATTGGAAATAACGTGGCAGGTTTCTGGACAAGGGCTACAAAGCGAGGGTTGTGTTTATGTCACTAGAATACGTTGAATGGAGAGCGTGACTGGGAGGTAGCAGGGGACTGCCCTTAGCTCTAGGTTCCAGCTGCACTCAATTTGTGGTGGTAGGTAAAAATAGCAGGATTTGCGTGCCTGGTTTTGACTTGGCTGCTTAGTTTACCGTGTTGCTGCGAATGGACAAAGCGCTCTTGAGAGAACTAGAGGAACTGGACCCTAAACGATCTTTTTCTGAGGGGCGGGGGGGGCAGTGTTGGACTGTGAGCGGTGTCACTCGGTAATCTGAAAGCAGCCTGTCACTGAACTCAACCGCTGCACGCAACGGTGGTTCTGTTTTCAGACTATATAAAGTGCAATAAAATACAGAGTAACAGAATAAGGGTTTAGATCTTGCTTGTTTGGATGAGAGTGTGGTTTGTAAAGATCTTACGGCTTCCTCCTATAGAAAACTACACGCAGGCTATAGAAGAGTTTCAGGCCTGCCTGGCCCTGCAGCAGAAGTACCTGGAGGCTCATGACCGCCTGCTGGCTGAGAGTCACTACCAGCTGGCGCTGGCGTACCACTACAACAGCCAGTTCGATGAGGCGGTTTTGCAGTTCGGTAAATCCGTAGAAGTCATTGACAAGAGAATGGGTAAGTGGATTTCTCAAACTGCCTAGCGAATGCGAGAGCTTTCGCAAGTCAAAGCAGGCTTTGTTAAACTGCCCTAAAAGTAGTTAGATATGCGTATTACCTTGCCATGCAAATGTTTGCCGGTCTGAAACTGGTAACAGGCTGTACTGATAATCAGAATTGCTGGAACAGCGTGTGCCAGCAGACACTTGCCTCTGTGGGTATTGATAACTGGACGGCTGCTTTGCCTTGGGGTTTTTTTTGCCATAACTGTTTCATCCTAGCAATGCTTACTGAACGAATAAAGAAGACGGAAAGTGGGTCCCCTGAAGATGAGAAGGAGATTGAAGAACTGAAGGGATTGCTTCCTGAAATTAAAGAAAAGATAGAAGATTCAAAGGAATCTCAAAAGAGCGTAAGAGTAGCTGAGCTGGCACTGAAAGCAACTCTGGTTAGTGTCCTGCTGTTTCCTTTCAACCAAACATTCTTCCAGTGAGGCTTGAAGTAAACCAGTAATGGGAAGAGCTCAGTCTGGATGGTAGAGGTCGGGGGCTGGTGGTTGTGAGAAGGAAACTGAGGCAGCAGACATCTAAAGAGAGGATAGTTAGTAAATACACTGATGTTAATTGTTCCAAACTAAACTGGAACGTGACAGGCTTCTATAGCAATTGAATGTGTCAGGGCTGGAAATGGTAGGTCAGCCAAATGTGGGGAATGGACTGAGTGTCGCGTCACTGTGCGAGCTTTTCATCTGTCCGTCCTGTGTGTAAGCGTAGGAGCAGAATGCAGTGTCAAGATATGAAGGAGTTGGGTTTTCTGTCCCTTTCTACACTAGCACGTACAGTTTTGCGTGGATAGATAGCTGGAATTCGTTCCACTGTTGTTCTGCTTTTTCTTAAGGTTGGAACTACATCTGGCTTTGCACAAAGTGAAGACAGCGGTTCTGTTTCCACAGTAAGTTAATTTAAGATGGATGTTGAGAATTCCTGTCTGCTCTAAGGATTACTGTTTGCCGTTACTCACGTGTCAGTGTCTGTCTTGTAACAGATTCCAGTCAGAAAAGCAGCTGATGGTGCATCTCAGTGTGTTACAGACATCTCTCACCTGGTCAGGAAAAAGGTGAGCCCGGAAATGACTAGTTGAACAAACAGTTTAAGTACCACTGGCTTGCTCTGTGTAATTGGATTTCTTGGCTTGAAGCTTTTTTTTCTTAGCTTAGTTCTATAGTGGAAAAAGCGCTCTAAAAGTAAAAAACAGAAATAGTGCATGAAACTCCTTTCCACTGGGAGCCAATCAGTCTGGGAACCATCCAGCCTCCAGGAGACTACTTCCTGATGGTTCAGCACCCCGCCTGACCCACACTGGTTTAACTTCCGAGCTGAGTTGTGTGGCTTCTGCAGGCGTTCTTTGAACAAGTGCCCTCCTCTGCTGAGGACCTGCAAGAGCAGCAGGGTGGCCTACAGACCTTAAGAAAAGGGCGAGCAACCAGGCTGAGTTGGGTTCCCTTCCTTCCAAGTGGAAACGGAGAATTGGACTTAATAAATAGCAAAGCCAGTCTAATGGTAGTAATGATAAACTGCCTCTCGCTGAGATAATAAAATGTACTGAGCACTAGGTTCCTTTAAAGGTATATGGTTTTTTTCTAGAACTGTTTGCAAATACAACTAAAACTATCCCCTGTGGGATCTGAGCTTTTGTCTTGTATGCTGCTGTGGCACAGCCTGGCCCGTGTTACATTAGCCTCTCAGTTCAGGTTTGCCTGGAGCAACTTTGATCTGCTTTACACAGGTGATTGTAAGTGTCAGATGCCTTAAATCTACCCCCGTAACTGTTAGCTGGCTCAGCAGTCGCATGTTTCTGTGCCAAACTATAAGGATAATTCAGCACTGTAGAAACCGGCACCACATAATGTCTTACTGGAAATCCTTTGTGGTTGAGACCTCTGTACCAAAGCTTCAGAGCTTTGGTTGAATCTTAACGCTTTACTGAAGTATCTGTCTTGAACCTGGCAAATAGAGGTTGAGTAGATAACGTGCAATGACATCTAGATGCTAACTTTCTAAAAAAAAAAAAAACTTAAGCTTTAATTTGTACATAGTGAAGACTAAACAATTTTGTCTTCAGAGGAAACCAGAGGAGGAGACTCAACAGGGAGACAATGAAGCTAAGAAATCTAAACCAGAGCCGGCTGTCAATGGTGGTGGTGGTGATGCTGCCCCCAGTGGAAATGAGGTTGCAGAAAAAATGGAAGAGGAGGTGGGCAGCTGAGTCAGGAGTCTGTGCCGTGCTTGCTTATTTATTTTCCTCTGTTCAGGCACGGGTTTGTGCCTGGTGGATGGACTGGTTTTATTGCCTGCTGGTCTTCATAAAGCTTCCCAGATGAGGTGGGGAATATTCCCCAGCTGGCAGGGTGCGTGTTGTACCGTGGTGTCTGACACGGTGTGGGCTGGAAAGACACCAGCTGTGGAGATGTGCAACCTGTGGGGTGGGACAGAAACGTGCTCTGGGTGTTGGAGTCGGGCTGAACTACGGCACAGGGCCTTTCCCCCCCAAAGTATTTTTTAATATTCCTGGGTTTTAACACTCGTCACCTGGGCTACGATTGTTAACGTCAATATTTCAGAATAGCGTTGGGCTCTGGAGACCAGCAAAGCACACGTAGTCAGTAAAGTTTTCAAATTACAGAAACTTTGAACTGCTGCATGAATTGGTTTTTTTAAAAACAAAACCTTTTCTTTTCTTTTAGACAGAGAAAAGGCCACAAGCAGAATCAGGGGCTGCAGTTGAAAGCACAGTATGATAATTCTTTAACCTTGGACACTCCTCTACTTACAAGGAAAATGGTTTTGTATATAGTGTATTTTTTCACTTTTTGGCAACTTTTGTATGACTTCAATAAAGATTGTAAGCAAATGTTCCTTGTCTTCACTCTCTCACTGTTACAAGCTCCAGCCTTTGCTCCTCACTGCCCTTGGGGTGCAGGTCTCGGCCCTGGCGCACCACTGGCCTCGCTCTCCCCTTAGCCTCAGCCTTTCCCTCTGCATCTGCCTAATGAGGAGGGGGGGAGAGGAGGGGCGGATGGAATTCACTGCAGTCGTGGCTATGGGGTAGGGCGCAAGCCCTGTGGTCATAGTTCTGGCTGTGTTCTGGTTCTTTCTCGGCTGAGCCTGGTGTAGGTTCCTGGGGGGCCTTGAGCAGCCAGAACGTGCTGGGGAAGGCTGATAAGAGCTCGTCTGGCCCCCCACCCTTTGCAGGAGCCAGGACGCTGTTGTTGTGCAGCGTTGGCTCTGCTCAACCTCCAGTTCACCCCTTTATATACGGTCTTGCATGAGGAGCTGGTGGGGGAGCAGGGGGCGATGGATCCTCACCTTGACAGGGCTAGCCCCTGAGCCAGCCCGAGTCCCTGTATCTGCCCAAGCGGGGCTGGGAGGCTGCTCTGGGACAAATGTGTATGTGTTTAGATATACGTATAAAAAAAAAAGAAGGTGAAGCAAAGAGCAACTGGCTGACACTGTTTATTAAGCGCCCAGCGTGGCCTCCTACATAGCAGAGGAAATCTTGCTGTGGGTTTGCTGGTTCCTGTG